GTGTACAACGCCGCTAAAGAAGTTTTAACTTCGAAAAAATCTGTCTCATATTTTCAAATTACATATAGGAAATTCAAAATACGTACATTTTAAATACATCCTGTAATGTTCTATTATTCTCCATTACATCCAACTCCGACCGTGTTGAAAAAAAATGCCCTCACCATGAAGAGATTAATCATAATTTCAGATCGGTCCACGGACGGAGGAGCAACGCTCTTTTGGTTTTTATTTAAAGTAGTTGCTCGGACTAATACCTGCAGCTGAGTTTCATCATCGGACGTCAATAGAATACAAATTACCAACCGTATCACTTCGACAATCATTCTACAACTGCGCGTTTCTTAAGGCAGTTTTTGCCGCGCAACACCACTTTGTGGTACAGCTGCCTATTGAAGTATTTCCGAACCAATATCCGAATTTTTAAATTTATTTCATTATTATTTATTACTTAAGATGTCATGTGGAACATGGTTGCAATGGTTGCAGCTCCTTACAAACGTTGTGTAAAACAAAAAACTTGGCGATTAAAAAGAGTGGCGGAGAGTTTATTGCCAGTTTTTTTCTTCCGTTCTACGCCCTTGATTTGAGAACTGGCAGTAAATGTAAAATTAGAAGCATTTAATATATATATATATATCTTTCTTGACGTTCATAAGTGTACCTTCACTAATTCGACTTAGGGTCCTTCAAGAAAAGAGCGTACCAATTCCTAAAAGGCCGGCAATGCACTTGCGAGCCTTCTGGCAATGTGAGTGGCCATGGGCGGCGGTACCACTTAACTGGTACTGCCTGTTTGCCTCCTTTTACATAAAAAAGCCGGTTAAAAGACGCAAGTTCTATAAACAAGAATTGGCAAATCCCGATCTCAATAATGTGTTTTCTTCATATCGAATCTATCGAACTTAAATACAAAACCGTCAGAATCAGAATTGCCTTTGAATGTGACAGAGTACGGGCACAGGTCCCAGGGGATAATGATTCTATTTATCAGCCCATATTAATACAGTCCCAACTATCGCATAGAGGGGCAAATAATGAGAAATATCCTTTTATTAATTATTTCATGACTTGATTAGGGACCAGCGCCCGGGAAGTACAACGAATCCAATTTACGATTAACTCTTTTTGGAAACCGAGCCTTTAGTGCCTGCTATGGACACCTGCAACGCCAGGAGATGAACGTGTGTTGCATTTACGGATACCCTCTTTTCTTGAATTTATTTCAAACGCGGACCGGGACCGAGTATTTTTATTCGTTACAGAGAAGTTTCGTTTTAGGGAGGGAAGCATTAATGTATGGGTATTGGGTTAAACCAAATAAAATTAACTCACATTTACGTTATAGACAGTCCAAAGTTGAACCATTAAAGTTATCACACATAAAAATAAATATAAGATCGAATTGAGATACCGCCATTTTTTAAGTAGCTTAAAAAAAGATCATCCGTGGATCGATCTGGATGATTTAGGTGTCAAATTATTAGGAGTTTTAGCGACTAGCTCCACGACTAGGTCAAAGGAATTGGTAATCAGACTGATAGTTTTCAGGTTATTAACTGAAACGTGCCAGAAAAAAAACGCGTCACCGCGTCGAGACTCTTCCGAAATAGCCCGTATTTGATTAACTATCGTTTATTACATTTAATTCTGTTAAAACACCAATTAGAGAGATTTACTTTTATTTAGTTATCAAGCTTACGACATCACACACAGTCCTAAACTTACTAATTATTTTACAAAATCTTACATCTAAAATGTGTGACAATTAATGCAAGCATAAGTTTCTCAAACAAAAAAATCAAATAGAAATTAAAAAAAAATACAACTAAAAACTACTTTTTAGTGCTTTATTGGAATAATGCTAAAGAAATGGATGGATGGTCGCAGCGGTTATAGGCCGCCAATAGAACATAGGTATATAACTTACCATTAATAGAAGCCAATATCAGGCAATTAAATATGTGTTCATCACACGAACTTGACGAGCTGATAGATGAATAGCTGTCTCTCTCGCACTATCACTGATCTGAAAAAAAAGTTAAGACTTTTTATAATGAAAGACGTTCTTGCTTGGTGTTTCGTTATAAAGGGAAACTACACTAAAGCCAATGTGGGATTACGGGATGAACATGAAGTTTACGGCACAGAGTTCTGATCACTTAAGTCCCATTATCTCGCAATTGGGCATGGGACAGACATTTCAGCTCTGCATTTCTGACAGTCGATTTTTTCTGTTATTATATTACCTATAGCCGATAAACCAAATCTAATAACTTCATAACCTTTTTAAACGGAACAAACGAAAGTAAGTAAGTACTTTCTATTTCTCGACAGTGAATCTTATCAAATTATTTTTTAAATTCTAAAATAAATTCCAGAAATTGGACATTGTTTATAGGCGATCAAATTCTTAATTCAATACCATCGTTCCTTCAAACATCAACTTCAACATCTAAATAATTTGAATTAGTGTTAAAGATCTTTTTTTTTATACATTCTAAATTCATAATTTGGGCATTGGGCTACGAAACATTAAAAAAATCCAAATTTGTAAGCTTTCATTCAAAAACCGTCGTTCCTTCAAAACATTCCATATTCAAGAAGGCGTTCCTCCAAAATATGCTCTCTAAACAATTTTGCATGCTTAATTCAAAGAAGCCTGAGTAGCTTTGTCAAGGGAAGACATCTATTTATCAATTGAAAGCAATTACATAATACACGGGAAAATGAACCTTACACCATTGTGAAAAGGAAACGCGCCATAACTATTCATTCCTTTGAATTGAATTTGATTGGTATGAGTTCGAACCGGTATGGGTGAGTTTCGCGCGGTTTTTAAATAACAAAATACAGATTATATAAACTAATTTGCAAGTTACAACATTGTATAGACATAATATGAAGATAATAAATCTACCAATTAAAATATCATTAATAAACACAATTTGATCGAATGAGGCGAATGTATTGAGATAATTGTTAGGATTTTAATTATATCGAATTATTGTTCTTTTTACCAGATTTTAATTACAGACTTTAAACTTAGCACAGAATATAATAACTATGATTTAACTTTTAAAAATCGAAGTCAGGCCATCAAATCTTCAAATAAAAACAAATATCAAAGTATGTAATGTTTCTCATATTGCACCATCAGCAACAAGTGTATCATAAATTACAATTTAAAAAAATAAAAATAATTTACCATCATAAAGTTTTGAATTTCGAATAATCGGAACAATAAATGAAAACAATAGACTTTTAAAATTTTAAACATCTAATTATAATGTAACTAAATAAGGATCATTTTATGACACCACCACAGACTGGCTGTTACTTTAAGAAACATCGAATCCCGATTTAACCATATGCCGGAATTATTCCAAATACCGTAGTTGCAAAAACGCATCAAACGCGGGATTTAATTACATTTAGACAGGTAAACTTTACTAATAATATGAAAGTAACATGCTGTTACTTTTTCGAAAATCGAACTATTTCAAACATAGAGTTCACAATAACACACTGTTATTTATAAATATAATATTATGTATTAATTTGGGAATAATTATTTATACACAAATACAGATTTTAAATATCGACTTCACTAAAATACATCGATCGGATACCTCATTTTGACAATTCATTATAACATGATGAGCACACGCTTTTTTTAAAAATCGAATAACAATTATTATACCATTCGAAATCGAAATCTCAACATTCTTAAATTATGCCAATCACAAAACGATTGCAACACGTTATTTAAAAAAAATCGAAAACTATTCACCCCAAAGCAGATTTTAAACTTTGAACTCACCAAAACATTCAACGCGATATTCATAAATTTTAACAATTCAGTATATGAACACGCTATTTTAAAAATCGTAAACCTATTCTCCACCCCAAAGCAGATTTTAAATTTCAAACTCACCAAAACGCATCGAACGCGGGATTCCTGTACATTTTGACAAAACACTATATTATCAAGGCAGGCAGGCACACCACACGAACTATGTTGCACTAATGTATGAGGGGCCACAATTGGTGCAATGACATTTCAACAGATTAAAAATTTCATTATAACATTCGTAGGTACCTTACCAGAGAGCGCGTGGGAAAACACACTTTTGTGTCCGTTCCAGTATACTCTCAAAGCTATACGAAAAAAATCTTTAACAAATTCCTCTAATTGCCTTCTAGCATTCTACGTGCCCATGTATCACGTAACACCATGTGAGCCTCATTGCTGTTTGCCCCATTTCCTTTTTAGTTTCTCGAGATTAACCTACCCTATTGACTTTACATCAATTTTCATGTTTGACATACATAACCTCCGATGGAGTGAAGGTCTCCTTCTAACTCTTACACTTGTCTCGCATCCTCGCCACCATTCTCCATATACCCGCTATTTTTTTTTCCATTTTCCCAGGTATCTGGTGGGCGTCCTCTTTTTCCTTCCCACTGGACCATCCCAAGTCTTTTTGACCCATCTGTCAACAACGCGGGCAATGTGACCGGCCCATTTCCACTTCCCTTTTCAAATTGACGTCCTATCTTAATATATATAAATTACGTGTCACGTTGTTTGTCCGCTATGGACTCCTAAACTACCGAACCGATATCAATCAAATTTACACACCGTGTGTAGTTTGATCCAACTTAAAAGATAGGATAGCTTACATCTCAATTTATACCCGCAATATTATTTTATTGCAAATATTTGTTTATTATTTGATACAATTCTAACAGATGGCGCTGTGTTAAAAGTACCAACGTTTCACATAAGCTATCTACCTTTCACATAAGTTCTCCTACCGTTTCCCTTGAATAGTTTACTACTATGTAATATAACAAAAACCTTAGCCACAGCAACGCTTGGCCGGTCTGCTAGTATAATATATATTATGCCGTACCCTTGTGTCACATCAATGACTTAAAAGGCCATGTCAAAGTGGTTGTAACATTTGTGAAGGTTAAAAAACCTTGCTACATACTCAATTCAAGGTGTTTCGCCCCCTTCCTGAACTCATAATACAGTCAAGGAATGGATGAGTTGTAAGATCAGGGTAGGAGCCTGGACTCTTCTCAGTATCCGTCATTGCTGATGGTAATGACACTGTAAGCCTACTGCTAGTGATATCCACTTTGTTCAGCCTATAGCTTCCCTTAGCACAGCTGCTGGCACACCAGTGGGCTGGCGAACTGCTCTTGAAACGCTCGGGAGGAATAAATATCAAATTCACACATAAATTAAGTGATTCCATTATTTATTTTTGCTCTCAAACATCACACATATTAAAATGAGGACAATCGCGTATGAAAATCTTATAAGATAAACACGTGTGAAAATGACATGAGAACTTAATAAAGCGCCATACCAGATCCAACTTCCTTGGCAGTAGCCCGCAATATCGCTATCAACTCCCGAGGGAACTCTTTGTGGCCGAGTAGCATGGGTCCGCCAAGCGCAAACAATGTAAATACATAATTATGTAGGAATATAGATAATAATAATAGCAAACAATTAACACAGCAAGGTTGCTAAACGACTCGACGAAAGCTTTAGTCGCTGAGAAGGTCCACCGAGTCACTTTTCATCACAGTTTTATTGTTTTTTGAAGTGAAACTTCTTTATAGACGTTGGAAAAAAATTTACGTCACGTGACGTCGTCACATTTTTCCGTTACGCGCCATCTTTTTCTTGTCCTGCGATTTCGGATCCAGTTTATTGATTAGTTGCAAGATTTGTTGTTTGTGAAGTTTGGCTACCTCTGAAAACTAACTTCAGGCTTACCGCAACGTACTGTTATTTATATTGGATAATTTTTACGTTATATTTAATTAATATTGCAGTTATATTATGTTTAGTTAAAAATAGAAATTATGCTTTTAAATCATTATTATTTATGTCAAAAACCGTGTAGTGCGTTCATAAAATGTATAAAATTTATATTAAAAACAACAATATATAATAACGATAACAATGATAATAGTAATAATTATATTACGATTAATGAAATTCTGTAATAATCTTTGTAGTAATAAGGTAGAATGGAATAATTGTATAATTTTTATTCAATTGTAATAAGCCTTTTTTAAACTTTATCTAAGTTAACTTTATATAAACAATTTCTGTAAAGTTGCATATAGTAGATCATTATTCGTAAAATAAGGTCATAAAGAAGTTTCACTTCTTACGTGTGTACACTAGTACACGCATACATTTTTTTTAAGTAGTGGCGCCAGATTCTCTTACTCTTCCAACACTTGGCGTAGAGTGAGCCCAAGTTGGAGTTAGAGTTCTGAAGACTTTTGAAAGAAATTGATGGCGTGGCGATGGCGAAAATTGACATGACGTCACGTCGCCTAAAAGTAAATAGTGTACTGTATAATTTTGTGTAAAAATAATCGCAGGCGCAATAAAATTCATAATAAATTATTATTATTTATAGAAGGGGCAAACGAGCCTACGGGACGCACAAAAAGGGCAGTCGTCACCCATTTTTTGTGGGTACGTTGCCGGCCTCTTACTTTAAGCAATTGGAGGTCGTATCTCGAAGACCCCCACCGGCAGTCGATTCCACAGTTGACTAGTTCGCAAAAGGAAGTGAAGTGGGAAGCAGACTGTGAAAGACTTCCAGCTAGTCATAGCAAACGCCTTAGACACAAAATAATAAGTATGACACTCCTTCCTATAATATTATCTGCGATAACACTTCACTGTGTACTTTTTAGTTTAAAAATAGTGGCAGGCGCTATAAAATACATATACCCGGCGCTGCTGAAGAAATTCGGTTTAAAATTAATTCTTGTAAAAATATAAGGAATAAAGTACGAAAACAGCGCATTTAGCACTCGCTTGTACGAAGAAAAACATCGTGAGGAAACCGACTTGCTTTAGACCTAAAAAAGTCTACGGCGTGTGTCAGGTGGTTGATCACCTATTTGCCCATAAGACAGATGATCATGAAGCATACAGAAATCTGAGGCCCTAAAAAGGCGCTACAACGCCACTGATTTTTTAAAGTACGAAATTGTCAATAAAAAGTATTATTAAAGATATTATTTATTTGTATAAAATAAAACGACAAATTATATCTACATTTAAAAGTATTAAAATTTACTTTTATTACAAAAATATTTAGCAAAACCGTTTCACTTATTTACATAAATAAACTTTTTACAAAAATCCAGTAAAAACTTCAAAACGATGATTCAAAGACGTCACAGTCTGCAACTTCACTCTGGATTTCAATGCTCCATCCTCTTCATTGTCTATAGCAAAGAATATCCGCCTCGCTCTAGCATGAACTAACGCCATAGCGCACATCACACACGGCTCCTTCATCATATAAACATCATAACCTGTACACAAATATGGCCCTGTATCCTCTTCCTGTTTACTCTTGAATCGTCTATGCCCAAATTTGACATCCAAATCTTTTAGATAATCCAATAATTTCACATCAATGAAAGTGTCATCGTCCATTTGAGACTGCCATGCGCCGCCATTTTGTGTTCTAGCAACATTATCTATAGCCAACATGGCGGCGTGTTGCATTGGATGACATTTTCGGTTATCTTCTCCTATTGCTACCACGCTACTTATCGTTGGATCAACTACCACAGCTACGTTTTGAACATCAAACCATTTCGCTGCTAAAAACGCTACTTCCATATATCTTCTATGTGAATCTAACTCCTGTTCTGTAAAAAACTGCCCACTGTACAGCTTCTCCAAGTATTTATCTGGATGAAAATTGCACGGCCAAAACATTTTTGCATCTTCATACTGTTTCTTGAGCTTCGGCGGTAGCTTGGGCACATTTTTCACTTCAAACGCCCCAAATATATCTTTAAACCCCTCATCACACTTACATAGATAATCCTCTATTGACATATCATTAACATACTCTGTGGGACATATGACTACTTCCTGTTTCCTAACTCTTTTTAAATGTTGAAGTTCCTTTACTGGCACCTTTTGGTTTAACAGCAAGACTATTTTTGAGATGTCCCTTACATTTTTTATGTGTCCAACATAAGTTGGGATTAATGGCTGAGAAGTCATATCATTCATGACAACATTGAGGGGTTTTTTGGTGGTTTTTAAGCTGTTCAAGTGGCAGTCAATGACGTTTGGTTTCCTCTTCATTTGCGGTTCCTCCATACTGAAAATGAAAGTGCACTTCACTGCGACAAATAATACGATTACGAAAACCTTCAGTACCTAACAATAGTGTATAATTGGATTTCGTTTTGAACTTGAACAAACATGATATTTATGGAGATTACTTTTATTCGGTTTTTTTTTGTAGAACAGGGGGCAAACTTGCAGTAGGCTCACCTATATACCACATATACCTTATGTGATACCGCTCATAGCCACTCAATACTAGAGGGCTCGTAAGTGCCGGACTTTTAAGAATTGGTACGCTCTTTCTTTAAGGACCCTAAGTAATGTAATTTAGCGCAGAGTTGACAGAATACGAAGGGCAGCATGTGCGTCTATCACCGAATGCTAAATGTTCCAATGGTGAACGCCCAGAGGGGGATTCTCCACAGCGGAAGCGTGTGCGTAATCTCTGTTCAAACTGCACCTTTATACTATTAGTTATATTATAGACAACTTTTTTTATTACTGCTATATATGTATATTTTTATGAAATTAATGTTGAGAGAAGCAGTATACGAGAAATATAAAACAGACGACTGTAAATAATAACAATAATCTTGCTGGCAACCATTTAAAATCAAAGCAATTTGTAACAGCAAATTAGTTACAAAGCAAAATACTAGCGGATTACATTTATAGGCATCCTATCGCCAAACCATTGCAAGCTCGCTTAGTTAAAATTAATTTCAAAAACAGTAACTGCAACGAGCAGTGAGATCTTAGGCCATAAGTAATGAAAATGTTCCTAAAATACCGGTAAAGTATCGGGAACCTTTAAGCACCTGTATTTTATCAGTTCTCTACATGTGGCCATGTTTGGTAGGTATACAAAAAAAAAACTGTCATTGTCATACCAGTGCCAGTGGAGCTACAACTCCAGATTTCTGTATATGTTTCATGATCGTTCGTCCATCTAATAGGGGAGTAGGTATATAAGAGAGAATATACCCACTTTGACTTTGAAACATCTACACTGCACACTACTGAACTAATATAATGGAACCCTTATAAAAAACCGCTTTTTTAAAACCCAAACCGAACCAGAACCGTACCGAAATATGTACCTATTAAAGAATCTAAATTGAAAACCAGAAGCAGTTTACCTAAATTTGTAAAGGTATTAAATCCCTGGACATTACTACTTTTCTATGTTTTTGTTGAGAGACATTTAAAAGTTAGGGGGTAATGTATAACACATTTTCCATACACATGTCTAATATAATTAAATATGTAAATATATACTCAAATAGTTATTGTATAGATAAATCATTATTATATTCACGATAATTGTAGCTTGCATGCATTTGTTTATATATGATTAGAATGGATAAGAAACATTCATGTTGTTCCGGTAAATTATATTCTTTAAAACAATGAAAAGTAAAATCAATAATGATTGGACACATCTATAATTTGTCAGATATGTCCTTGAACACAAATTTTAAAAAAAAGTAATATTTTAATACTTCTAGCCTTATCTGTCAACAGAATTGTTTTATTATTTCTTGCAAGTCAATCATTATCTTTCATTTACAACATTATGCATGGTGTACAGAAAACTGTTGGGCTACTGAAGCCAGCCGCTGCAGTCGGATTTCCAGGGAAAAGAAATGTGGGAAGACCACAAAAGTGATAGTCTGACTACATCATAAAGGTCTCTGGGGAGAAATGGATGGAGAAAGGAACAAATATATTCTCCTATAATAGATCCAAATGGATAGTTCAGGAGGAGACCTTTACCCAAAAGGGGTCAATACTGCAGAACATGAAGTAATGGAAGTAACAATAACTAAAATAGACTAAGTGTACATTAAGAAAGTTACACCCATTTGATTTGTAATTTTTAACTTACTGTAGTAGTACACAGCAAAGAGGTTAGAAAGATTATCTAATATTCATTCATAGAGAAACAGTTAAAATGCATAAATCAGTATATAACATTGTTATGTTTGCTTTACTAAAAAGTCTTTTTAATCAGTTAATGTGTGATTATTTAAATCTTATTAGAATCATGTTTTGCTATAGGTTATAAATAATTTTACAATATCCTCTGAACCATCTTAAATAAAACTGGTATAGATAAAATAAGATTGACAACAAAAAGTATTGTATACATAAATGTTCAAATTTGAATTTTTATGATATTAAAATTGCACCAATTTACATTCTTATGTATGTGTTATGTATATGTAGATTGATCGCGGTCTTTCTCATTTAAATAACAAATTTTTATGAACATGCTAATTCTCATTGGTTATGAGATTGCTCATAAGCTTCTGATATTATTTAAACTACGTAGCAGAAACACAACACTTATAATATATCTTAAGGCACGTAATCACATATTTTCAATTCGTCTCATTGATAATATAAATAATGATAATTTACCTTAGAAATTTCCACTGCGTTTATGGTATTTTCCTTCTATAAGCACCGTATTCTCACTTGAAACTGGTAAAGCAGCAAAAACCATATCAATAATTTCTGTATTATTGAATATCACGGTCGAATGGTAGTATTAACGCGTAAAAACCAAGAGAATAACAACGAGCAGGCGGCAGCCATTGATATGAAACAGAAATTAGGTGTCAAAGTTTGATAACGTACATCGTTACTGCAAAGTGTCGATAATGTCACATTGGACAGTAGACAGTGACAGTATGGGTAACCTTTCGTTAAACGCTTAAAATATACTGTAGTCAATTTTAATATTGCGATAAAAGTACTAAATAATACTTCTTATTAGTAAATAATTTTTTTTTCCACACCAGGGGGGTCTAGCCATATTGGTGTCGAAAAGTATTCTACATACACTACCGCTTTTGCGTAATTGTACTGTCGAAAACGCTTCGTTCGTAGCCAAGAGGCATGTCGATACATTACCGCAAAGTCGACAGCGTAGATGCGAGCTGCTGTTCGTAGCACCTTATTCCGTCATATTGTCTCTGGATTAAATGTATTCCTAATGTCACTTTTATAAACAAATAAAAGTTAAAACTACAATATTATTGTTAATTTGCAATAATTGCAAATTCCAATTATTGGAAGCTGCAAAAGGGACATTAGAATGTCAGTAAGGTCGGAACAATTTTCGATTTAAGTGGAATTTACTGAAGGTGTAAAGTGAATATATGAATTTTAATTGCATGTTTAAATTACTTATGGTTTGTTTCATGTTTTCTCAGAAATTTAAGGCTACAAATAAATACAATATTTTGAAATTGCATAATCGCGATATATAATAATTAGTAGTACTCATACTTTGATATTTTTAGGATTTGACCTCACAACTAATCTGCAAAATGAAGAAGCAACATATTTTGTTACCGCTTAGAAGAAACAATAGAAATAGTACTGTGGATTGATAAATAAAGAGTGAAAATAAGGTTGACTAGAAGTTGATAAGGAATAGAAGGATAGTCCAAGAAATTAAAAAAATAATAGAAAAAAAACGTAGACTAGTGTGAACACTGAAATTAGAGTTTGATTTAAGCTTTAATTAGGTTTGGTGTTTGTGCTTGAACATTTTTAATGTCAATTTGAAAGCAGATTTATATATAAGTGTAGATTTTATTAGTGATTTGCTACTAGTTGGAATTATCTCTGTTTATGTCCAACAAACAATTTTAGTTTAAGTTAGAGTCATAAAGGTTGATTGTTTATAATAAATGTATACTTTTAGAAAGTGAGAATTGAAAAGCAGCAAGTACTCAATGAAATGAAAAGAGGGATTAATAAAAATTATAAAATAGAAACTTAGTCTGGTATGAAATTATAAGCCTTACTCAACCTTTGATTCCATATTGATGCTCCAACATCTTAGATATAAATTTAAGTTTGATGCTGATTTTAAGTTAATATTTATGTCAATTAAGTTTTGGTTATATCAGTGATTTGCTACTAGTTAATATGTAAATGCCAAATCTGTTTAAGTAAGAAATGAATAAACATTGCATGTTATGTATTTGTCAGTTTTATTTTTGGTAATTTACCTATGTCTTCTTTAGTAGGAAAAACCATTAAAGTGGTTAACAATATAAGTTTCTTTTACAAGAATATACAGATAATGCATATATGAATGACCCGTACCTACTAATAGTTAGAAATATTAAACAAATAGGTAGCAAAATAAAAATGTTCCAGTTATGGTTATTTTTTATTAAAATAAGGCACCAAATATCTTCCTTAACATAATGCAGTCTACATAGAAAAATAAGCATATATAACAACTTGTTAAACAATACAGACATTACTACTGAACACACACAGGTGCACCAAATTCAATGCATTACTACCTAATGTAGATGTATTCAATTATTCATATTTATATATGTAGATAATTAACTAATAAATGTAAGTGTTAATTTGCAGCAAAGTCAATATCTTATTTGTGTGCTGTTATATACAAAAAATTGTTCAATTCATAAAACCTAACGTTAGATGTTGTGATGATTTCATAAAATTACTATGATACCTACAGTTACTATGAATACATCCTGGGCGATTAAAAAAACAGTGATTGTTTCCTTAACACAACAATTGTAAATAATAATAGTTATTTTAAAGATATAATTCTTCCCAAAATCTACAAATCCAGTTTGTTTATAATAATATCTCATTAACATTCAAACTGCTGAATTTATTAAGATTAAATGTGGAAGAACATAGTTTCAGTTACTGTTTCCTGTTCATGAGGTAATGTTACTTAACCAACCATTATTTCATACTCCACTTGTCTTATTTTTTACATTATTCATAAAATGCTTCATTCCCCATTTTCTGGTACATAATATAACACTTAAATTAATTAAAAGATAAGACTTTAATAAAACTTGTCCATTTGTGGTTTTTTTTTAATATTTTTAGTTGTCTTATTAGCTTCTCTTTTTCTGAAAAGAAAATATTTTAGTTAGTACTTTGATCAAATAGAAAACTGACAAACTAAACTAAGATCGGTCCAAGGTTTGTTCAATAGGTAACTTTAATTTACTCTT